AATCCAAATCTCAATATTTAGGATTAGATGTTTTGGATGAATTCCTATTATTTATTTTCGACCAAAATTTAAATATTTGAATCTAAATTAGAAAAAAAATGTTCTTATTTTAGAATAGAAAAACTATAATAATATATTTTTTAATATCGACAAAGATCAAGGTATTTTAGTCAATTAGTACCTAATCAGCCGATCCCATATTTTGAAATATATATATATATATATATATATATATATATATATATATATATATATGTATATATATATGTATATATATATATTTGAATTATGATATTTGTTATATAACTAACAATTACAAAAGAGGGAGGCTACCTACCACTCTTGAGATCGTGCTTCCTATCTCCCCCTTCACAAAACAACGGTTAGTGTTCGCTAACCAAATCATTTGAACCTAATGGTTATGTTCATACATTTTGATCCATTTATTAAATTCAGAATATATCTCTTCATTGACAAATATTTTTATGTTTGATGATTATCTAATTTAATTCATTTTTTTAACATAATATTGGTCTTTTGATTTATTCTGAAACCAATTTAATTTGGTTTAAAAAATATAAGATAATTTTAAAATAACACTAAAAATAAAAGATGTAGAACTCATTTAATTTAAATTTGTATAATAGATAATTTTGTTTCAGATATAAGTGTGATTCGGTCTTGTTAGAATATATTTATTATAGAAGTATACAACATTTTGTTATAAAGAGAAAGAAGACATAACTCTACATATACAACATATCATTTTATTTATTCTGATATGTTTATCATAACAAATAATTATGAATTATTTAATTTGAACTAACTATCTAAAAAATTATTAAAAATTATCAAAAGTTTCGCATCTCAGAATCATTTAAAACAATACTAATTATTCACGATTTAAAATCTAAATGACTTTGTAACATTTAATTTTTAGTCGCAAGTAAATTTAAAATATTTGATCATTTTTATATTTTCATGGTTACTATGGGTCCTCTTAATTGATTATAATATTACGATTCGTTTAAAACAAACTAATTATTAATTAGTTAAATATTTAAATAGTTAAATAGTATAAACTAGTCAAATAGTTAAATAATATAAACTATTTAAATTCAGTTATATTCATTTTCGGTTATTTTGATTATAGAAAACCTTTAATTATTCGGTTTTATATAAACTTTGGTTTGATTCAATTTGATTCGGTGTGGATTCATTTTTTTTGTTATAAAAACTCTTTTTTCACGTTTTTCGACAATGTTTTAATCGGTTTAATTTCGGTTCTTTGGATTTAAAATGATAATCGTTCAATTTTCATATAAAATTCGGTTTAATTACGATGATGTCTTATTCAGTTCGATCAAAATGGCCACCTACTGGAAACGTTTGGGGACAACATAAAGTTGTAATGACTTTGAAATAAATAAATAAATAAATGCAACTTAAGGGCACAATCAAGTAACTTGACAAGGATCATGCCGGTCAACTAACACACACATATATATATATATATATATATATATGCACATATAGAGGCATTACTTCTATTTTATTTGTGTTGCGATTCGATTTTTTATGTGTGTGTGTTTGCGGCTAAGGGTGGGCGAACAATTCGGTTCGGGTTAATCGGTCACGGTTAATTCGGGTTCGTGTATTTCAGGTTTTGAAAATTCATAATCAAACGGTTATTTAATTTTATTCGGTTCAGTTCGGTTCAGTTTCGATTTGGTTCGGTTCGGTTTTATATACTTAAAATTATAACCAAATAAAGATTCGGTTCGGTTCGGTTATAATTTATAATATTAAAAAAATTTAAAATATTTATAATAAAAAATATTCAAATATAATATAATATAAAATATCATCATGATCATCTTAATATATAAAACAAAAAAATCTAAATTTATATCATAATTTGTTTTGACGCCAAAATAACAAAATACAAATTTTAAATAAACTTTATCATTTTCAAATATGTTTATATAGACAAAAATTTGAAAATAATAAAATAATAATGAAATAAATTGAAAATAATTAAATAATAATTAAATTAAAAAAATTATACATCTCAATTTATTATATATCATAGTTATAAAACAATATCATTATGCTATTTTTTCTAATTAGATTTAACACATATCGTATATTGATTAGTGATACATAGGTGGAAACAGTTATATATATTCAGTTTATTCGGTACCATTAATTCGGATTTGGTTTATGGTTATTTCGGGTTCGGTTATTTTGGGTTTTAAAAAAATCATAACTAAACGATTATTTAATTTTATTCGTTTCGATTCAGTTCGGGTATATATCGATCGGTTCCGTTTATAAACGAAATCCCTGAATCTAATGCTCACCCCTATTTGCGCCGTATTGCATGTCGATTTATAGTCTACGTTAGGACTCCATTTGGGTTATGATTGATCGGATATATAAGTGCATGCACATGCACATATATACGTATGTAAATGTGTGTGAATTAATCGTTTAAAAAAAATGTGTGTTAATTAATCCACACACACACGCACATACATATATATATATATATATATGTGTGCGGTATAATAATTTCAATGATGGTGAGTAATCTTGAACGGAACGATTAATTACATTTCACATTAGGAAAATAGAATATGGTTGCCCTTCGGGGTCAGGTCAGATGGTTGGGAGCAGAGGCAACTCCTTGAGGTGGGGGATCGAACCTTGCCGCCTCCCTTCCCCTTATCTGCTCGTCTGTCAACCTATCATCATGGGCTGATTTACCTCATATCGTGTGTTGCAGGCTCATGCGTGTGGGCGTGGGGTTTGACCTGCAGGCGCCTAAGCCCAACTACGGTCCGAGCGTTAGATACGCCTGGTGACCAGGTCCAGTAGAATCGTTAGGCACGGATGGTGGTCAGTTCGTCTCCGTTTGTAAAGGTAGGTAGTCACAGGGATTCCCCATAGTTAAAAAAAAAATAGAATAATGGTCACATCAATATTAAGATTCTTTATTAATTGGCATACATCACAATTGCATGATTCAATTTGTTAAGTCGTACATGTATTTTTATTTACACAATGTTATCATACGAAAACGACAGACTGAGCCACGGTTGACGTGGCCATTAGGATTCCACCACAAGTTTCGCAATTTGGCCTGGCCATTTGGTGGATCCCAACATTCGATAAGATTTATTTTACGGAAAATTCCATAAAAAATTACCAAGTTTTTTTAAAATTTCCAATTCTGTAATATCTGTGAAATCGATATTCGATATATTTCACCAAGAAAAATATATTACGACGTTAACTTTCCGTTTTGATTTATGACGTCATTGCTATGCGGATGCCACACGAATACTGCGTAGATTACTACATCATTAAAATTAAATAAAATGTTGCGTTATATAAAACTTAAAATATAAACAAACATATATATACACATGCATATATATATATATACTTATATAAATACACATACATATATATGTATATATACACACACGTATACAGATTTGTATGTATGTATATATACATATATGTACAGACATATATATATCTATATGCATGTGTATATATATATGTATGAGTATTTTTTTACTTTTTTATTTTTATGGCGTGACCGTGACATTTTATTTAAATTTTAGTGATGTGATTCACGTGGCATCCATATGGTAATAATGTGGCGAATTAAAACGAAAACTGAATGTCGTATCATATTGTTAAAATAAAAATTGGATAATTATTCGAAATTTTTTATTAATTGGGGGAAATTTATAAATTGTTTTCCTTTATTTTAACAATAATAATTATTATTTTTTTGTGTTCCTTCAAATTCATACAGTGTAATCTAGTTTTCTAATTTTAAAATTTTAATATTAAAATTTATGAAAATATATTTTCATATATTTTAATTAGAAATTTTGAAAATTTTTGGACAAAACGTGTGTATAACATTTATCGGTACTAAAATTACGTGTAAATATAATTCGGTGAAATAAGGGACAAAAATTATTTAAATATAGGAAATAAAAAATAAATACGAAAAATGTATGGATATAATCTCTGATTTGTTAAAAACAGCGATTTAATTTTGTTTTAGTTTCATCATATGCTAATGTATAAACTTTAGTCTTTTATAAATTATAATAAAACTCAAACAAAATGACATATTAAAATATATATTCGATCAAATGCGATTAGATAATGGTAAACACGATCATATGACCAAATTGTAATTAATTGAAAGATAATCTTGAAAACTCTTTTATTGCGGTCTGAATTTAATCTAATTCCCCAATATATGAAGCATAATACATAGCCACACATGTGAATCGTGATAAAACTAAAATGGAATCATTGCAAATGGACCAACTTCAACATTAGAGTGGGATTTTCACGTCAATGATGGTATTACATTTGCCCCACTAAGTCCACTAATCACAAAACCACATAATTAAATAATTAAATATGCAAATGGAACCTATTTTTAATTAAAAAGGGTATTGAAACATGCAAATTGACACGAAGACAATCCAATGTGAACTTAAAAAATCGAGTTAAGGAAAGTATAGGATGAACTATACATAGAAAACATAAGTTAAATGTTTTTCTAGATCTGGTTGGTTTATTCTGATATATAAATTTTTAATTTTGATGTTTTTACTATTTCAAAGTATTTTATTCCATATTTCAAAAAAAAAATTGTTTACTTTTATGTGATGATGTATATGGAATTACCATGGTGTGGTTGATCCATGTCTCTCGCAAGCTCGTTAGGTTCCATATATATATATGTATATATATTAAGTATGTTACAAGTCAAAACAAGCAAGGAGAATTTTTTTTTTTTTGAAGAATTACGTACATAGACTTAGTTCAATTATTCTATTATTAGAGAAATATAATAAATGTGAAAAGAAATGGTCAACGCAAAGGCTACCGGATCAGCCGGTAACCTCTATCCCTCCCAGCCTCGTCTACGCGCGTGAATGTGCGTATATATATACACACGTATACATATTAACACACCACAACAAAATCCTAAAACAATTGAATGTCTTTTAGTTTTTAGTTCCAATCCACCGTAAAAAGAAGGATTTTTTAGTTTTTCCGACGAAACCATGAACGGAGCGATGCCGGAGGACGGTGGCTCCACCGCTCAGAAGCGGCTGAGCATGAGCTTCATCGTGTCTCTCATGGCGCTCTGCGCAAGGCACGCGAAGAAGATAAAGCTCAGAACCCGGAATCCCCGTCGAACCCACCTCGAGGACCACCTGAAAAGCCCGAGATTCGGAATCTCCGGCGGAAAATACGGCGGAGGAGGAGAAAGCAATGGGTGGTGCACTCCGCCCCGGTCGCCGTTCAGAGCGAGGCCGAAGGAACTATTCACCAGCTTGAGTAACAAGGCCATGACGATGGTCCGCCGGAAAAATCACGGCAAAGGAGGCGGAGCAGCGTCGGAGAAGTCTTATGCAGCGGCGGAGGAGGAGGAGGAGGAGATGGAGTACGGTGTTTGGCAAAGGGCGATATTGATGGGTGACAAATGTCAGCCGTTGGATTTCTCCGGCGTGATCTACTACGATTGCAACGGGCGGCAGGTAAAGGAGTTGCCTCCCCGTTCGCCACGTGGCAGTCCTTTGCTCCATTACCAGAACCGTTCTTTTGTCGGGTCGCCTTCGGTCACCAACTGAGACGACGTGTCGTTATTTAATTGGTCAGTTCTTTAGGAGCTACCGTGTCTTCTTTAGATTACCACACACACACAAATATATGGTTAATAAATATTGTGATATGACATGTATAAGTATAATTCATACATATGGCAATCAAAAAACAAAAAAAGTTTTGTATAAATTAGATCCGCGATTTTGTTTTTAAAAAAAAAAAGCAATTGGAATCACCAAAGACCGGCCCTCGGGTTGGCAATTGGCTTCTAAGGTTTTTGACCAGGCCTCCTCATTGTACTATTATAACACAACGAATATTTATTTGACATCCATCGCATAAATTTTTTTTTCTTCGTTCATTTTGATTTTTGAACACTCCAAATCCATATTAACCATTCGATCCTAAATGAGTATTTCTATCTATCTTTATATCTTTTATTCATATATATATATATATATATATATATATATATATATATATATATATATATCCTCTCTTTTTCCAATAA